AAATCAGTGGATGGTGTTGAGGTGTTCCAGCATGGAAAGGGCACAGAGGTGTCCGTACGTGGTGAGTGGGGCTCCCCGAGCAGCTCCTGGTGGGAACCAACCCCGTGGGCCCATCCCAGCCCAGTGGACTCCACTCGGGGCGAGCAGGGATGGGGAAGGGGCTCAGGTGCTGGTCCCAGGAGAGGGTCCCATGGGCCATCCCTGGGCTCATCCATGGCCCCAGGGGAGACCCCGCTCCCTGCAGCCCCAGGGCCGGGTGGGGGTGGCAGAGCCCGCTCTGATGGCCCCACACTTCTCCCCACAGCCAAACCCACCCGCCCAGTCGTGTCCGGGCCCGACGGCAGAGCGGAGCCGGAGCGATCGGTGCCTTTCACCTGCACGTCTGGAGGGTTCTTCCCCGATGACATTGACGTGAAATGGTTCAAGAACAGGGCCCAAGTCTTGGCTCAGCAGACCCAGATCGACCCTGAGAGGACAAAATCCTCCTATAACATGTCCAGCACCGTGATGGTGACACTGCAGGAGAACGATGTCCGCTCGGAGCTCATCTGTGAGGTGCGGCACTCCACGCTGACGGTCCCGCTCTTGGGGACGTACCGGCTCAGCAAAGCCCTGCGAGGTGAGGGCTGGGTGGGGACCGGTGCTCGGGGTGTCCAGCTCCTGTGGGGCTGGGGGTCCTGGGACAGGGCACCCTGTGGGCAGCAGAGCCAGGGGATACCGGGCACCAGGCGCTGCCTCTCTTCCCAGTTCCCCCTAAAGTCCATGTGGATGCTGACTCACCAAGACCCATTGAAGTGAACAAGACCGTGAACTTCACCTGCCACGTGAAGGGGTTTTACCCAGGAGATGTGGCTGTCACCTGGCTGGAGAACGGGATGGAGATGAACGTGAAGAACATCTCCCGGCTGGAGGAGACCTCCCGGGGCTTGTTCGACCTGAAGAGCCTGGTGGAGGTCGAGGCAACGGAGGAGAAGAACGGGACTGTGTTCACCTGCCGAGTGGTGCACGATGCCCAGGAGCCCATCAGCAAGGTGATCACCCTGCAGATTGCTGCCCCAGCCAAGGAGGGACCGAGCGACTCGTCCTTCACAGAGAAAGGTGTGTGAGAGCTGCTGGGCTGCGGTCCCTGCTGGGGAGGCTGTAAGTTGTCACCCCCCTGAGAAAGATCAGAGTCCCGTCAGAAACTGGTTCAAGGATGTAAAATCTCCACATTGCGGGGCTGAGGGGGTGAGATGCTGGCAGGTACCAAGCTGCCATCTTTGGTGCTTCAGGCCGACCCCAGCTGTAAGGGGACTTGGTCAGTACCAGCATTTTCAGGCCCGTGGTGACCTTTTTAATTCGTATTTCAGAAAATTTGCTCATCTATAGTGTGGTGGGAGTGGTCTGCACCGTGCTGGCACTGCTGGTGGCTGCGATTCTTTACCTCATCCACGCAAAGCAGAGCAAGGGTAAGGAAACCAAGTGTCCAGTGGGGAAGCAGCTGCTCCCGACCTCCTTCTCCAATTCTCTGGAGCATTCAGTGCTTGGCTGCTGAATTCACGGCTGTGCTGCTGCAGCTCCTGCTCGGGGGGAGGATGGAGCAGAGCTGACCGGGTGGTTTGCAGGCTGCAGGGAAAGCTCTGCCTGGTTGCCACCAACACTTGCCAAGGTCTAAAGTCCTTGTTATTCCTTGTACCTAAAATATCTGACATCCCCCCTGCACCTCCTGCCTTGTGCCAGGAACAGTCCTGCAGTAAATGGAGTGAAACTCCACAAAACTGGAGCCACTTGTCTCTGGGAGAAGACGCGTGTCTGCTCTTGCAGCAGCCTCTGCACGTGGGCTCGTGTGCGTGGGGAAGCAGAGGTGGGGGCAAGTTGTTTCCTGACCTGTTTCTTTCCTAAACTATTTCTCTTCTGGCAGGTAAAAGCTCACCATCTGCGAGGTAAGTGCCGATCTCCTCTAGTCAGTAACCCATGGGTGCTCTGAGCTGGACACCCTCAGCCTGCAAACAGGGATCAGGATGGAGGTGGGTCCCCAAAAGCTCGTTGTGGTGAAAGGGAAGGTGGGAGCACAGACTCTGCCCATCTCCCCAGCTCTGGTTCTGCCCCTGCCATGATCCTGTACCCAAATGCTTGGCTTTTGGTGAGGCTGAACAAGCGGGTGGGAGCTGGGTCTCATGACCAGCATGTGAGCAGATGCTCATGAGTGAGGAGTCATCCTGCTCAGAGCTGCTGCGAGGACCTTGTTTTGCATTTGAACCCCCCCAGCTGCTCCATCACTAGGGAAGAGGCAACAGGACACTCGATCTGACTTGCTTTGTTCCCTCTTTCAGGTTACACGAGCCAGAGAAGAGCAGCGAGGCCACTACCCAGGTGTGTTGCTCAGCCCTGAGGAGGGGGAGCGGCTCGGGGGGACCAGAGGCAGAAGTGAGGGTGGTGGTTCCTGCATGAAACATCTCAGTGTCTCCAGTGGAGGGTGGTGGTTCCCCTGTGAAACATCTCAGTGTCTCCACACTGTGGCTGGAGAGGAGAGAAGCTGCCCCAGGGAGGGGGTAACCACATCCCAGCATCTTTTCTGCCTTCACCCTCTCTCCTCCGCCTCCTCCTCCTCCCAGGGAAGTCTGGGTTTGTGCTGCCTGGAGAACCAGCTGTGCGATAGCCAGCCAGGCTATTTGTGGAGTTGTTTTGCATTTGATGACACAGTTACAAGCAAAGTCGTGATCAGCAGCAATCTGTCCGTCCCACCCAGCCTCTGCCAGCTCCCACGTGGGCATCGCTGGGCAGACTATCCCCTGCCCATCCCTACCAGGGTGACAGGGCAGCTGTGGTGGTGGCTGTTGAATTGTGGTGGTGGCTGGGGATTTGAAGATGTGGCATGGGGTAAAGCATCGCTGTGGGATCATCCCAGGCAAGCAGAAACCGAGCTGTCCCAGGTGGAGCTGCAGCAGGATTGACTTCAGCGTGAGGCTTTGGGTTGGTGCATGGGTGGGCACGGTGCAGGAGACCTCCCAGAAGAGGAACTCTTGGTGTCTCTTGCAGGAATCCGAACCCAACAACGTGACCTATGCAGACCTGAACTTCGACAGAGAGAGGAAGACCATCCGGCGGATGGTGGAGATGAGCCAGCAGTCGGAGTACGCCTGCATCCAGACCAACAAGGCACCCGCCACCGGCGACGACAACCTCACCTACGCCGACCTGGACATGGTGCACCTCAGCAAGGCACCCAGGCGGCCGGCCCCACGCCCCGAGGAAGCCAGCTCTGAGTACGCCAGCGTCCAGATCCCGAGGAAGTGAGCAGGGCTGCAGCGGCCGCTGGGATCCCCTGCTCCTTGGGAGCCACCCTGCTCCTCCCGGGAGGATTTTCTTGGGATCACTGAGCGTGATGTGAAGATGCGCTGTGGTACCCACGGGTGGAAACGGAGCCCGCGATACTGCTGGGGTCAGCACCCATCTGCAGAGACCTGATTTTTGGAGGCAGCCTGGTCCCAGGGCTGTCAGCTCCATCCCATCGGGATCTCCCCGGTGTGCTGGGTTTGCTGGAAGCGGGTTAAGCCAGCGGAGCAGAGGCTCTTTGGGAAGCTCCAGCCAGGCTGAGGAGACGGGGACAAGGACAGTGCCTCCACACTGGCTCCCATGGGGATGCCACTGCCCAGCCGGGCTCACACAGCATCCCACAGCCACCCTGACCCCCCAGGGACCGGCCAGAGCCCCTGCGCTGCCTTTTGGGGCTCTCTGCCACCTGGAAAACAAAACTGGCTTTAAAGGAAGGACTGCACTGTCCGCCTCTCTCTTCCCAAGTGTCCCTTCTGCGGGACCTTGCTCTCGCACCAAGGCCAATGAGGCTGGGAAGGCTGGTGAGCCGACCCCCCTGCTGTGGGCTGCCCCCAACCTGCCCCCCAGGGAGGCTCTGGTACAGCTCCCCAGCACCGAGCATCTTCCTCCTCCTCATCATCCTCCTCCGCACAGCCTT